GTGCCAAGTGCCAGTGAGTGTCTGTGAGTCTCATACCAGGTGATGCCCAGCCCCTCCAGTGTCAGTCCTCACAGCCACCACCCCACTTCCCCCTAACACCTGACGGGTCCCTTTGGGGGGCTATTACTATGCCCAAAGCCCAGCTGCACTTCTTAACATTTACACGCTTCTTCCTTATGCCCTAAGCTTGGGTCAAGGCCATGGGTTTTGAAGCTCCTGTTTGAATCCTGGTTTTGACACTTAGGCAAACCAGTTCATCTCCCTGCCACCACATTTTTAAATTATAATTTTTAAAAATATATTTTAATGATTTTTTACAGAGAGGAAGGGAGAGGGATAGAGAGTTAGAAACATCGATGGGAGAGAAACATCGATCAGCTACCTCCTGTACACCTACTGGGGATGTGCCCACAACCAAGGTACATGCCCTTGACTGGAATCGAACCTGGGACCCCCAGTTTGTAGGCCGACGCTCTATCCACTGAGCCAAACCAGTTAGGGCATGAGTCTTCCTTCTTGATAGAAGTCAGGTGCTTTATGCCACCTGATGGCTATGGAAGGTGGACGGTCCTGCAGGGGCCAGGACTGGAGGAGAGCTTGGGCACTGGGCCAAGAAGCATGGGTTTCATGCCAGCCCTGCCACTTTCCCCAAGAGACCTCGGGCAAGTGATGTAACCTCTGAACCTCGGTTTCCTCATCTGTAAAATGGGGTGATCGCAGACCCTCCCTCTCAGTTTCTCCCTCCTATGCCAGCAGCCCTGGCGAGCTGTCCGAGTTCCTGTGGGTGGACTTCCTGGTGGACAACGGCACGAGCGGGGGCCTGGCCGTCACGCGCCCCGTCACGTGGCAGCTGGAGTACGCAGGCCAGGCTCCGGAGGCAGAGAAGGACAAGATGGTGTGGGAGGTCCCGGTGTCGGAGCGGGACATACGCGCCCTCGTCCCGCTGGCCAAGGTGAGAGGTGCCCCCTCTGCCCAGCCAGGTGGGGGGCCGCATGAGGCGAAGAGCTGGGGCTGAGCTCCTCCCGCACCCCCAGGCCGAGGAGCTGGTGAACACAGCACCGCTGACCGGAGTGCCCCGGCGGGTCCCTGTGCGCCTCGTCACCGTGGACAGCGGGGGCGCTCTGGAGGAGGTGACGGAGCACGTTGGCTGCGAGTCCGCCAATGCCCAGGTCCTGCAGGTGAGCGGCACGTGGCCGCCCCACGTGAGTCCACGGTGTGTGCACAGCTTTCCTCCTTCCCCATCCCAGTCCCCACGAGACAGCTTCATGACCCCGGAACCTCTTGGGGGTGCCAGCTTCACCTTATCTTGTTCCCACCACCTCTCCCCAGAGTCCCGTGGGAGATCAGTGACCCCCAACCCCCCGCTCAGGCCCTGTCACGTTCATCACTGCTGGCCAGTGAACTGCTACGGGCGGGGTCAGGGTGGGCTCTGGTACTCCCCGGCTTGGCCCACGCCCTGCCCTCCCACAGGTGTCCGAGGCCTGTGACGCCGTGTTTGTGACGGGCAAGGAGAGCCGGGGCGCCCGCGGGCTGCGGGTGGACTTCTGGTGGCACCGGCTGCGGGCCTCGCTGCGGTTGACTGTGTGGGCCCCGCTGCTGCCCCTGCGCATCGAGCTGACGGACACCACGCTGGAGCAGGTCCGCGGCTGGAGGGTGCCCAGCCCGGCTGAAGGGTGCGTGGAGGCCTGGAGAAGCTGCTGGCCTTGGCGGAGTCGCTGGGGACAGAGCCAGGGGCTCGGGCGCTGAGAGAGGGCCGGGGACACAGCCAGGGCTCAGGGACTGAGAGAGAGCCGGGGACACAGCCAGGGGCTTGGAGGCTGAGAGAGGGCCGGGGACACAGCCAGGGCTCAGGGACTGAGAGAGGGCCGGGGACACAGCCAGGGGCTTGGGGGCTGAGAGAGGGCGGGGGACACAGCCAGGGCTGAGGGACTGAGAGAGAGCCGGGGACACAGCCAGGGGCTTGGGGGCTGAGAGAGGGCCGGGGACAGAGCCAGGGGCTCAGGGACTGAGAGAGGGCCGGGGACACAGCAAGGGCTGAGGGACTGAGAGGGCCTGTGGTCTGAAAGACGGCCCAGTTGCTTGTGGCTCCTTCCCCCATCCTGGCCTTCATGGCCCAGCCTAGGCCCATCATTGCTGACTTCACACTCTCCTCCTTCCTCACCTTCCCACACCTGGACGGTACAGACCCTTCTCCTATGTCATCTGACCCGTCATGTTGGGGGCGGTCTGCCCCTGCACGCCCCTCCCCTAGAAGGCAAACCCTGGGAGGTAGCTCACTGCTGTGTCCTCAGAGCCTAGATCAGTCAAGATTGAGGCTGCCCCACCAGAGGCTAAGGGTGCGTGGCCTCAGAACCCTGCAGAGAGGGACCCTGTTTCTGCCTTGGAGGGGTCGCTCCTCCAAGTCCCAGGTAGAAACAGGAGGGAAAGGGGGCGGGGAGAGCAGCTTGATGGGTAGGTACAGGCGCCAATCAGGAATGGGGCCGGTCCTCAGCGCCTGCAGGTGGAGGCCTGGCCCAATAGGGCGTGCCCGTGGGCGGGGCTTTAAGATCAGGGCGGGGCATCGCTATGGGAGGCGGGGCCTGCGCCGACGCCCCGCCCCTGGCCCCTCCCTCCCCTGCAGGGCGCCGGGGCCCGAGGCGGCGGCCGGGGAGGAGGCGGAGCGGCGGGCGCGGGGCTGCCGGCTGCAGTACCAGCGCGCCGGCGTGCGCTTCCTCGCGCCCTTCGCGGCCCACCCGCTGGACGGCGGCCGCCGCCTGGAGCACCTGCTCGGCCCCGACTGGCTGCTGGACGTGTCCCGCCTCGTGGCGCCACACGCCCGCGTGCAGGACCCCCGCGTGGCCTCGCTGGAGGGCGGCCGAGTCCTGGTGGGCCTGGAGCCAGGGGTCACCGCCATCGAGGTGAGCGCTCCTCCGAGGAAGGCGCAGGGCCCCGGCATGTTCGCGGGTGGCTGGGGGGGTGCTCCTGGGGGGGCCTGAGCCCAGCGGGATCGGGGTTGGGGGGGATGGATGGGTTGGGTGTGGGGGGACCAGGTCTGGAGGGAGGAGGGAACTGCCCCCCACGGGTAGGATTGGGGTGCAGGCATGCGTAGGGTCTGGTGTCAGAGCAGGGAGGGTGGGGAGCAGATACCCCGGGGTCGCAGAGGGCAGAGGCTGTCTGTAAGAGGACCCCACCGCCGGCCCCTCGTCGCCCCCAGGTGCGGTCCCCCCTGTCGGACTCCATCCTGGGGGAGCAGGCGCTGGCCGTGACGGATGACAAGGTCTCGGTGTTGGAGCTGCGGGTGCAGCCGGTCATGGGCCTGGGCCTGGCCCTGAGCCGGGGCACCGCCCACCCCGGGGAGGTCACCGCCACGTGCTGGGCGCAGGCGGCCGTTCCCGCCCCGAAGCAGGTGACGGCTGGGGGTCAGGGGCCACGGTCAGGCTCCCCAGGCGGGGGTTGATGATGGGGGAGTGGGAGGGACCTAACTGCCTGGGAGGCAGTGAGCTCTCCGTGGCCAGAACATGTCCATGGGAGGTGGATTAGGCTCTAGCTGAGGACCCTCCCGGTGGCTCGGACCCGGGGGCCGAGTGGCCGACAGGTGATTGACGCCCGTCCCCTCTCTCCCCGTGTCTGTCCATCTGCCTGTCTGTCTCCTCTCTGGTCCCTCCCCTCCGTGTGGCCTGTCTCTGTGGGAGTATCGTGTGCATGCGTGCCTGCCCTCGCGTGTCTGCCTGTGTGTGCCCTGCAGGAGGTGGCCCTGTCCCTGTGGCTGTCCTTCTCCGACCACACCCTGGCCCCCGCTGAGCTCTACCCCCGCCAGGACCTGGGGCTCTCCGTCTCGGCCGAGGAGCCCAGCGCCGTCCTGCCGGCCGAGGGCCGGGGTGCCCGGCTTGGGGTGGTGGTGAGTGGGGCGGGCGCCGAGGCGCTGCCTCTGCACGTGTCTCTGCACCCGCCCGAGCCCTGCCGCCGGGGCCGCCACCGCGTGCCCCTGGCCTCGGGCACCACGTGGCTCGGGCTGCCTCCGGCCCCCACCCCGGCCCCCGCCCTGCCGTCCGGCCCTGCCGGGAGCCCCCCGGCCACGGAGGCCAGTGTGGGTGGCGGAGGGCGGGCGGCAGGCAGTGTGGGGGGCGGCGGGGGTGTGAGGGGCAAGTTTGAGGGGACAGAAGAGGCCGGGCAGGAGGGGGAGGACGAGTCGGAGGCCGGGGAGGAGGAGGGGGAGGAGGAGGAGATGGTCCCCGCCCCTCGGCGGGTCACCAACCTGGAGCTGGGCATGTACGCGCTGCTGGGCATCTTCTGCCTGGCCATCCTCATCTTCCTGGTCAACGGGGTGGTCTTCGTGCTGCGCTACCAGCGCAAGGAGCCCCCCGACTGCGCCCCGGACCCCGCCTCCCCGCAGCCCCACAACTGGGTGTGGCTGGGCACCGACCAGGAGGACCTGAGCCGCCAGCTCGACCGGCAGCCCCCCGGCCCCCTGGAGGGGGAGAGGGGGTGCCCCTGCGAGAGCGGGGCCGGGGAGGCCCTAACCCTGGCCCCCGCACCCCCCGCCGCCGGCCCCCCCGGCCCCCCCGGCCCCCCGGCCCGGAAGGAAGCCGGGGGGCGCCGGAAGCGCGTGGAGTTCGTGACGTTCGCGCCGGCGCCCCCGGCCCAGCCGCCCGAGGAGCCCGCGGGGGCGCCCGCCGTGCAGTCCATCCTGGTGGCGGGCGAGGAGGACATCCGCTGGGTGTGCGAGGACATGGGGCTGAAGGACCCCGAGGAGCTGCGCAGCTACATGGAGCGGATCCGGGGCAGCTCCTGACCCGGCCGCCCCGCCGTCCGGCTCGTCCTCCGGAGCTCGCTGACCCGTCCCGCCGGCCCCCCCGTCACAGGCCCGCCCAGGCCTCTGCCGGCTCCCGCCCTGGCTCCCGGTCGGAGGAGGGGCTCAGCCCCTTATTTGCGGGGACGTCTGACGTGGGTACAGAATAAAGGAGGGGAGCCCGCAGGCTGCGCTGTCAGTGTCTGTGTCCGGGAAGCAGCGGGTGGGGGCGTCAGCCCCGGTCCCTCCCGGGGCCGCTCTGGGCGGCGGGGCTGCGCGCTGCCCTCTCATAGCGGCGAGAGATCCACACGAACAGCAGCGCGGCGGCCACCTGGACGCCGGCCAGCAGGAAGAAGTAGCGGTCCATCCGGCAGTTGTTGATGTTCCCTGGGGAGAGGGAGGCCGGCGTTGGGGCGGGCGGCGTGGCCAGGGGGCAGGTGGGAAGGCCCTGGGCGGCTGGCCCCCAGCATCTGGCCGCCTGCCCTTCCCGGGGCTGAGAACAGCTCAGGGCACGCGGCCCCGCCACCGAGCGGCCGAGTTCCAGCGGCAGGAAGGCACCGGGAGGCCCCCCGAGTTCCATGCTTCCCTTTGACAGTTGGGGAAACTGAGGCCCGAGGAGGGCAGGCCTTGCTGGGGTGGTTGGCCAACTTCAGCGAGAGCCCCGTTCTCTGAGCCCGGCCCGCTGCGGGTCAGCGCTTGGCCGGTCACCTCCTTCCCAAGCCTCCCTCCGCCCCCGCTCCCAGGGCGCCCACTCACCCTGGTCCTCCGGGCAGTGCAGCCAGCCCCTGGGCAGGGACAGCAGAGCCACCAGGCCGGAGCCCAGCAGCGAGCCCACCCCCGACAGGGAGAAGAAGATGCCCATGACGGCGCCCTGCATGGAGCGCGGGGCCTCCGAGTACGCGAACTCCAGGCCTGCAGAGGAGAGAGGGCTGAGGGAGGTGGCCAGGCCCCGCCCACTGGACCCCCTCCCCCAGCCGGGCCACCCTGGCTGATGCCCAGCACAAACACCCCGAGGTCACTTCCATAGCACCCCCTGGGCTTGCTGTCCCCCCACCCCCATGCCACAGCGAGTCCCGCCTGCCTCCCCCTGCACCTGCCGCTGTGTGGGCCTGCCCTGAGCGCTCAACTCCCTGCCCCGCCTGGGGGAGGCAGACAGAATGGCATTGTTACAGCCCCGTGCCCTGCGCGGGATGGCTGACGGTGACCAGAGGGAGGGCCCGTGCCTCGGACGGGGCACTGGAGAGGGAGGGAGATGGCACTTAGGCTCAAAATTGAAGGGGAAACACGAGTTCGCTTTCAATCTGAGGGAACAGCCGTGGGGGCATGCGGAAAGTCCAAATGGGAAGTGTCTTATTCACCTCAAATCCCTGTGAACCCCCACTGGGTGCAGGCAGGGAAGGGGCCGGGGTACCTGGGATGCTGGCAAACATCTCGCTGACGCCGATGAGCAGATACTGAGGGGTCTGCCACCAGACGGACAGGGGTGCCGCGTAGTACACGCTGTCCCCGATCTGCTGGGACACCGTCTGGTTGTGGTGGATGTATTCTAAACGCTTCATCTCCAGGAATCCTGGGTGGGAGAGAGGGGACTCCAGCCATGCCCACTGCAGGCCGCCTAGCCCCTGGCAGAGCGTGGCACCCCCTGGGCCCTCGCTGCGGAGCCAGAGACTGACTGGGCAGCAGGCGGGGGAGAGAGGACTGGCCTAGGGTGTGTGTGTGTATCAAGATTTGGGTTCCAACTCTTTCCCTTTTTGCCTTGGCCGCTAGGAAGCTCAGAGCTAGGCTTGGCACTGAATCAGAGGAACAGCTCTTGTTCATTGAGAGCCCCTTGTGTGCGAGGCATTTAATACACATCCTAGCAAGTGAGGAAAGACAGATTTAGGTTAAGACACCTGCCCAGAGGCACACAGCTGATAAGACTCAGGCTGGATCTGAGCCTCCGGGTGTGGTTTCAAAGCTGGCCCACTTTCCGGGGTATCGCGTGTCTCCCCTCCCGCAGTCTCCTTCCCCTTCGCGGCTCAGGAGGCAGCGTGTGGAGTTGGTTCCCGTTCTGGCCCCGCCACCGACTAGGGTGTAACCGGGCCAGTCCCTTCACCTGGCGGACAGCCAGCTCCCGGACGCAGCGGGCAGGGCTGAGGTGCCCGTGTGACTGCGAGGACCAAACGGGACCAAGTGCTCTAAGCACATGGCTCGCAAGGAACCCATCCTGTTCATGGGTCACTCTGGCTCCCCTGTGTGAGCCTGGCAGGGACCAGCGCTCTGCGGACTCCCTGTCCTCTGACCTGAGCCTGGCCCCGCCCCCCCGGGTGGATGACTCTGTTTTAAAGACGAAGCTCAGAGGCTGAGACACCTGGAGGTCGTTAGTTAGGTGACTAGCGGTGCCAGCATGGAAAGCTGCCTTACCGGAGCCTTTTGAATAAGAGGCTTCAAATTCTTTTGAAATGGAAGAAGGAAGAGAATAAATAAATACTTTAAAAAAAGCATGCTCCCCGGTGCTGCTAAGAGGCTGCGTGTCTGGAAAACCCACTGTGGGATCAGCGCCCAGTGCAGCGCGCAGCTGTGAGGGAGACAGGGGAGGTCCGTGCCCCTGGGAAGATCTGCTTCCTCTCCTATCGCTTCCTCGGGTGTCGAACGAGGGGGTGCTGGGAGCCAGCCCTCTACGAGGGGACCTCAGCGGGGGGGACACCTGGCCCAGGCCCGGCTTCAGCACCAGCCACAGCGAACTGGCCGCGCCCCGCCCCAGCCCAGGCCACCGGCCTCGCCCTCCCAGCCCACAGGATGCACACCTGCCACAAGCACCGAGGCAAAGCTGAAGCACATGCCCAGCGCCATCTTCTGCAGGGCCGAGGGCAGCAGCTGGCGCCGCAGCAGCCAGGGGTCCAGCAGACGGTCCTTCACGGGCACCAGGACCAGCAGCACCACCACGTTGGCCAGGAGGAGCCAGGCCTCCGGGATCTGGGCACGAGGGAGCCAAGAGAGGCAGCTGGCAGGCCGAGACCAGGACTCCAGACCAACCCATTTCCAGCGCCTCTACCCGCCCCCTGCTCCGGGAGGCACACTCCTCAGCTGTGTAACTAGGGGTGGGGTTGGGTCACGGTGACAAACAGGTCCCTCTAACTTCTACCCATTGGTAGCAGCTGCCTGCAACAGTTACCAGCTCAGTATAAAGAATGCCAGGATTGATTAGTGATGTCTGCCACCTGCAACATTCACAGCTCAGCATAAAGAATGTGAGGATTGCCGAAACCAGTTTGGCTCAGTGGATAGAGCATCAGCCTGTGGACTGAAGGGTCCCAGGTTCGATTCCGGTCAAGGGCACATACATTGGTTGCGGGCACATTCCCAGTGGGAGGTGTGCAGAAGGCAGCTGTTCGATGTTTCTTTTCTTTTCTTTTTAAATATATTTTATTGATTTTGTACAGAGAGGAAGGGAGAGAGATACAGAGTTAGAAACATCGATGAGAGAGAGTCATCGATCAGCTGCCTCTTGCACACCCCCTACTGGGGATATGGGATCGAACCCGGGACCCTTCAGTCCCCAAGCCGACGCTCTACCCATTGAGCCAAACCGGTTTTGGCTGTTCGATGTTTCTCTCTCATCAGTGTTTCTAGTTCTCTATCCCTCTCCCTTCCTCTCTATAAGAAAGCAATAAAAAATATTAAAAAAAAAGAAAAAAAAAGAATGTGAGGATTGATTAGTGATGTCTGGCACAAGCAGCCAATGGGATAGGGTGGCTGATATGCCATTCCCCTGCCAGCTCTGCAGGTTTTTGGTCTGAGATGCCATGGGCTGGTTAGGAAAATCCTAGTGACAGGCAGAGTCCCGGGAGGGAGAGGAGGAGCTGAGGGGGGACAAACCGGGCAGTGAGCCGGCTCAGAGCAGCAGGGAGGGGGTGGGGGGCGTGCACTGGCCTGAATTCTTTGGAGCAGTGGGGCATCCTGGCAGGTTGGCACAATCCGCCCACCTTCCAGGTGCCTTTCCCATGCCCTGAGGGCACCCTGCCGTGGGGCGAGGGAGTGCAGAGGCCCATTCACTCCCTCCTCTTTACGGGGAGCCCGGCCTGGCCTGCCCCGAGCAGCACCCACCACGCCCTCACCTTGTAGCCCTCACCTTGTAGCCGCCGGCCGGGGCTCCCAGCGCCGCTGAGCTGTTCCTGGGGTAGTTTGGGAAAATGTTCGGGATGTGGAGGTGAAGACCTTGGAGGACATACGTGGATTGCATCTGCGAGAGAGACAGAGGTGGAGCGGGCAGAGTGGCCGCTTCACCCAGCTGGACTCCCGGCTCCGGGGCAGGCACGGCAGCTAGCACGGCGCCAGGCAGGGTCCCACCCGCCGCGGGGACAGTGACCTCCCGCCCGCCTGTTCCTCAGGAGCAGGCTTGGCCCCGGCGCCGCGAGGGCGGCTCCTTCGCAAAGCGGAACATACACGTGCTCACGCACACACCTGTCACCTTTGCCGTGTGGCGAGGCGAGAGGCAGAGGCCAGTGTCCTCTGAGCGGCTGATTTCGGGAGACTCTCACCCCGCAGCCCCTCTCCTGGTCTGGGGTGGGACTCGGGGGTCTGTATTTTTTATTTATCTAGTTTTTGGGGGGTCTGTATATTTTGTTTATTTTTATTTCTTGGGGGGGGGTCTGTATTTTTTATTTATTTATGTTTTTTGGGGGGGTCTGTATTTTTTATTTATTTATGTTTTTTTTGGGGGGTCTGTATATTTTTATTTTTTTGGGTCTGTATATTTTGTTTATTTTTATTTCTTGGGGGGTCTGTATTTTTTAAAAACCCTGTGGGGACACTGAGGCGCAGCCAGGAAGGAACCACACTCTGCACTGAGCTCGCCCCTTGCTGGCTGTGGGGTCTGGGCCTCCGACGCCAAGTCCGGGGAAGCTGACGGCGAGCCCTCAGCCTCTGTCCGCACTCTCATTCGCCAGAGAGACGGTCTCTGGGCGCCTTGTGTCTCCCCTGGGGGAGGGGGCTGGCTGAGGACCCACGCCCGCTGCTCACTCCGCTGCCCCGGGCTTCTCCGGTGGGCCTGGGAGCTGTCCCCAGAACGAGGGCCATGCTCACCTGGAAGTACACCATCCAGTAGGGCACCAGGGTCACCATGACGGGCAGGAGCCTCACCAGCCCCTGGAAGTTGGCGATGTCCTGCTCGGGGGAGGCGCCAGGCTGGGGCGGCCTCAGCTCAGGGTCTCTGTGGGCAGCGGACAAGGTGGGGGTGTCATGCCTGCACCGTGGTCCCGGCTTCCTCTCCTAACTTATCCCTCCCCCGCCCCACCGTCCTCGGTGACCACAGCCCCCCTCCGGCGCCACCCCACTCCACTCCACCATTAGTGCGTCACCAGCCCCGAGGCAGCCCGGCCCCTAGAGATCGGTCGCCCTAAAGGGCTGCCAGGATGTGCTGCAGCCGGACCAGGACATGCCGGGACCAGCAGGGCGATTCTCCAGGCTCGATCGACCCTCCCTCCGCCAGAGCCCCCTCACCTGGCAGAGGGTGGGCGCCACAGCCCCGGGCAGCAGTGCTGGAGAGCGAGCCTGAGCATGGAGGACACCTGGCTGCCCTCGGGGGGCTTGGTGACGAAGACGGGGGTGGCGAAGAGGAAGACGAAGAAGGCCAGGCCCACGCAGCCCACGGGGAGGCTGTACCCCAGCAGGAAGCCCATGTTCTGCTGCACGAAGGCCACCACCAGCAGCGCCAGCACCGCACCCACGTTGATGCTCCAGTAGAACCAGTTAAAGAAGCGGCGGCTGGCGTGGCGGCCAAGTCCCAGCACCTGCCGGCGGGGGTGAGGGAGTGAGGGCCCCTGAGGGCCGGGGCACCCGCCGCAGCTCGGTCCCTGGGCCTGCACACCCTCTCCCTGAGTGTGTGGGTGGATACCTGGGCCCGCACACCCTCTCCCTGAGTGTGTGGGTGGCAGCCGGTTTCGGCGGCCACGTGGCTTTCTCACTGCTGCCGCCCAGCGCCCAGGGCAGATGTCCCTCTGGGCGACGCGTCCCTCTGTCTCTGGCTGAGCACCCCACACTAGCGCCCACTTTATACCCAGAAAAAAATGCCAACCTAGACCTCAGTCTGCCCACGTGCTGAAACGTGATGCACGCGTGATACTGCTGGGCGGGCAGGGGCCTCCCCGAGCGTCCCCCTCGCCGCTGGCGGGGGCAGAGTTTTCACGGTGGCCCGTCCCCCCATCCTGCCTCGCCCCCCGCTGGTCCGTGCACAGCCGGACGGGGCGGCACCTCAGGGAGGCAGACACAGCCCCCAGGTGGGAGGGAGTCGAAACGAGGCCCCAGCTGGGCGGAGGGCTGGACTCTTCAGCCAGGATTCGAATGGATCCCACAGTCAGGCCCAGGCCCCGGGGCTGCGGGCCGGGTCCCCGCACTGGCGCCCCCGCCCGCCCAGACCCTGGTCTCAAATGCCCGTTTAGCAGGTCTGGGCACGGCCTGGGCACCTCCATTTCTAAGAGCAGTGAGGCCCGGAGGCCTCCCTCTGGATAAACGGTTCTGTTCGCTGCTAACCCCTCACCGGCTCAGGGACCCCCACCTCTGCTCTCCTGTCAGGCTTTGCTGTCAGCAGCCGCAGGGGGGGGGGAGGCAGAGGGGGAGGGGAGAGAAGGGAGAAGGAGGGTGGGAGGAGGGAGGAAGGAGGAGGAAGGGGGGGAGAGGAAGAGGGGTAAGGGGGGAGGAGGGAGGGAGAGGGGGAGGGGAGAGAAGGGAGAATGGGGGAGGGAGGAGCGAGGGAGGAGGAGGAAGGGGGGAGAGGAAGAGGGGTAAGGGGGGAGGGGGGAGGGAGAAAGGAGGAGAGGGGAGGAAAGGAAGAGGGAGGAGGGCGGAGGGAGGAGGGAAGGAGGATGGGGAAGGAGAGGGGAGGGAGGGAAACAGGATGGCTGAGGCCCTCTGGAGGCTGACGAGGGAAGCGCACAGGTTAGCCACCCCTGGAGGGTCAGGGAAGCCAATGAGAATCAAGGGAAGAGGAGTTCCTCAGAAAAGGTCAGGGCTCTGGGGGCACCGAGTCCCCTCGTCAGAGGAACCGCCAGGCTGATGGGCACGCCCGTGGCAAGGCCCTGGGGACGGCTGCTGCGGGATGGGGTGCCGCTGGATGTGGGATTCCCTAAGAGAGGCCCCTTTCGATGGCGGACGCACAGCTGAAGGCGGGCGGAGAGGGGGCAGCAGGACCAGCTGTCAGCGCTGTGACGGGTTAAACCCCGGGACCATCGGCCGACTCTTTGCCGGGCAGCGGTCACATTCTGCCCGCGTCCTGCGTCTGCGTTCGCTCGTGAACGCCCGTGGCTGTTCCAGTCGTGCTCCACGTTATTTATTAATAAATCATCGCCCAACACCCGCTGAGCAGAGCGATTAAAACACGGCCCCGCGGGGGGCACCTTGCATCCGGGAGCCAGTGTTGCCCGGTGCCTCCTCGCCCGCTCAGTCCAGAGGCCCAGGGAAGGCTCGGAGCGGAGACACCTGCCCGAGGGGCCTGGCGAGTGAGTGGCAGCGCTGGGGTCGCACCAGCTGGCCCCGCTCCACCTCGGGCACAGCTGGCAGGAGGGCCCTGACCCCAGACCCTGTGCCACAGGAAGGCGGGGCTCACGAGAGGCCTGAGGTCCACCGCCCGCTCCTGGGCCTGCCCTCTCTGTGACCTGTTCAGGGCGATGAATGTCCGGAGACCTCACTGTCCCCATCTGTAAAATGGGCACAACAGCACCACCTGCCGCCTGGCTGGTCACGAGGGTGAGCTGAGCCCAAACATCGAGAAGCACCGAGAGAAAGACAACTGCGGACTAAGGACCACTGTCAGGGTGCGCTGTTAGAGTGAACTCCCCCCACCCCAGTTCTTTCAAACAAGGAAACTGGGCCTGGATTGGGGAAGTGGTTTGTTTGCTGGAGGTCACCCCGGGAGCCAGGCCTCCCGACTCCTGGGTCTCTGCGCAGGGCCCAGGCGTCCCCTCCCGCTGCCCGGCCCCCCCAGGGCCCCCTGCGGCCACTCACCTGGTCGGCCCCGAAGGAGGTGAGGTTGCTTCGGACGGAGCTGGCGGCCAGGGCGAGCAGCAGCAGGCACGTGTACAGGGTGGGCGCGCAGTACGGGGCAGGCGCGGGGCGCGGGCAGCCGGGCGCGGGGCAGGCGGGCGTGACGGGCGCCTGGGGCACCTCCCCGCAGAAGGAGCGGCGGCCGTCGGGCAGGGCGGTGGCGGCCAGCAGGCCGCCGGCCGCCAGGTAGAGCAGCAGGCTGAGCGCCACGGCGCGGAAGCGGCCCAGGTACACGTCGGCCAGCCAGCCGCCCACGGGCGCCAGCAGGTAGGAGGCGCCCAGGAAGACCAGCGCCGCCCGGGACGCCTGCTCGCCCGCCCAGCGGAGGCTGCCGTTGAGGTAGAGCACCAGGTTGCCCGCCACGCCGAAGAAGGCTGCCCGCTCCAGCGCCTGCACCAGCAGCACCGCGCCCGCCGCCGCCCGCCGCCGCCCCGGCCTCGGCCCGCCGGCCAGCAGCGCCCGGCGCTCCCCACGCCCTCTCGGCTCCCCGGGCATCCTGCCGCCTCTGCCCCGCCCCCGAGGTCCCGTTCCCTTCCTCACCTGCGGGCCCCCTCTGGTCTCTCCCCTGGCTGCTCACTCCCCCACCTGCACCCCTCCGCCTCCCCCACTCCCTGTCCTCTCTCCCGGCTCCCCTCTCCTCCCCCTCCCCCCAATCCTCCTTCTCGCTCCCCTTCCTCCCGTCCTCCCACCTCCCCTTCCTCCTCCTTAGTGGGTCTCCCTGCTCGGCTGCCCTTCTCAGCTGTGCCCCGGCCCTTGGGACTGATGCCTGGCCCCCCTCTGGGGAGGGCCTTCCCCCAGGGCCCCCTCTGGCGTCCCCTCAGCTGCCTCGACCTCCCCCCCGGCCTCTGTCCAGCCTCTGCGCCCGAGGACCCGTCCCCTCGCTCCTTCCCCTTCCCTGAGGTGGCGGCTGCGTCACGCGGTCTGCGGGCAGGCGGGCGTCAGGAGAAGTGAAAGCCTGGGTCCGGGTCCCAGCCGCCAGCTTTCTAAAAATTTCCCTTTGGCCCTGCCTGCCCCGCCCCCCAGCCGGGAGGACCGCGGCCCATTTTCAGTTTCAGTTTCCCCGCCCCACTCCAGCGCATCCTCTCGCAGCAGCCGCCGTCCCTGTCCCGTCCCGGTTCCCGCTAGAATGAGGGACTGCGCAGCCCTGGGCCGGGGTCCCACCCCCCACTCTGCGAACCGGAGAGGGCGGCGGTGAGGGGGGGAGGAGGGTTTTGGGAACTGAACCAGGGACAGGGAAGCTCTCAAAATGCAGTTCGGATTGTGCAAGTGCCCGGCCAGGAAGGAAGTCGCCAACCCCAGGACGAGGTGACGCCATCGGTGCCCACAGATGGGCTGAGATTGAAGAGGGGCAGGACCTCAGACGGAATCAGAACCAGGCCTCACACTGCCCTGCTCCGAGCCTGCACTGCCCCCCGGGGTCAGAGCCAGCCCTCCCCTCCAACCCCCCCCCCCCGCCCCCCGAGACTGACCGCTGCCCTCCTCCAGCCTCCCTGCAGCCCTGGCCCCCAAGTCCAGCCACACTGCCTTCTCTCTGCCCTGTCCCCAACGGGCTGTGCTGCTTCCTGCCTCAGGGCCTTTGCACGGCGGCTGCTGCTCTGTATTTAGGTTTCAGCTGAGATGCCTGGTTTTCAGAGACCCCCCCCACCCCCGTCCCCATCCTAAGCAGCTCTGGATGGATTCTGGCACCTTCTCTCTGCGCAGTTGTCCTGATTTCATGGCTCCAGGGTGCACAGGGGGCCTCCAGTGGCTGGCTTCCTTCCTCCCAGCAGGGCAGACCCACGTTCTGTGGGGTCTTGTCACTCGTTTCTCTTTGGGACTTTATCTTTTTAGAGCAGTTTTCCGTTTACACCAACACTGAGAGGAAGACCAAGATTTCCCACGCACCCCTGCGCCCACATGCACTCAGTCCTCCCCGTCAGCATCCCTCCCCGGGGGGCGGCTTCTCCCATCACCCCCCACCACACCACGCCTGATGCGGCATTGGACGGAGGTGTGGTGACCGTATCCATGGTAACGTCATGCCGGCACCTCCACCGCCCCAGTGACCCTCTGCTCTGCTGGTCTCTCCCACCCTGACCCCCGACCGCCAGCCTCCCCGTCCCCACCGCAGCCCCCGGCCCGTGCACCGGCTCGCTGGCTTTGCCTTTTCGGGAGCGGCTCCAGTGGAGTCCTTCCAGAGGCCTCCTTCCCGCGTGGCCCTGTGCGTCCCGCGTCCTCCACGTCTTCCTGGCCTGAGAACTCATTTCTTTCTTTCTTTTTTAAAACATATTTTTATGGATTTCACAGAGGAAGGGAGGAGGGAGAGAGAGATAGAAACATTGATGAGAGAGAATCCTGGATCGGCTGCCTCCTGCACGCCCCCCACTGAGGAATCGAGCCCACAACCCAAGCAGGTGCCCTTGAGCGGAATCGAGTCCGGGACCCTTCAGTCCGCAGGCCGACGCTCTGCCCACTGAACCACACCAGCCAGGGCTGTTACCCTTTTAGAAGGGGTAAGAAGCCCCGGGATGACCGATGGGACAAGCCCCTGCAGGGTCAGGCATCATGCAGGTGACCGAGAGGGCAGAGCTGTCCGGAGCCTCTGGGTCAGCTGCTGCCGACAGGGACTGGGCTCGGGGGAAGGGGGGCAGGCCGGACCCCAGCTCGCCGGCCGGTCCAGCTCCGCCGAAGTGGCCCCTCTGCGGAGGAGGCTCGGGGTGGCCAGGGCGTGGTGACAGATGCACATCACGTCGGACATGGCTCTGTCCTCCCTGCCACTCCGGGACTCGGGCCTGGCCAATGGGAGCTCAGGAGCTGCGGGAGAGAAAGCCCGGAGGACAGCGTGGGCAGCAGAGGAAAGCACCCAGGGAAGCGTCCGCCTTCCGGCCAGCCGCCGGCCCCGAGCTGTGCAGGAGAGGAAGCAGCATCCTGAGGGAGACGCGGCTGCACCCAGGCCCGCTGTGACACGGATGGCCAGTGTAGGGGCGGAGAGCGGGGAGGGGCAGGGCGGCCCTGACCACAGCCCACAGACACGGGCCCAGACTGCGTTGGCCACACGGCGTGAAGTGCGTGTTCTTGTTTCTGTTCTTGTTTTTAATTAAAAGACACACGTGTACAGTAGGACAGCAGGTCGTCGGAGACACGCTCCTTCGGCCGACGAAATGCTGTTTCCCCATGTCAGAACGCCCTCCACCAGCACTTCCGCCCCTCACACGGGGCAGACACGGCAGGAATGAAGTGACACCGTAAAAAAAATTTAAAAGAAAGATAATTCCTGACCTTTACGGTGGCAAATAAATAGTAAAAAACATACACACATACGTACAGACGTGGAAATGACGGAACTTTTTTTTTTTTTTTTTTAATAAATAAATGGGAGATGGCGACGTAACCACAAAACAACTTATGTCGGGTCTGACATAACCCGAGGACGGCCTGTGTATGTATTTACTGATTGCAGAGAGGAAGGGAGAAGGGGAGAGAGCTAGAAACATCAGTGATGAGAGAGGATCATGGATCCACTGCCTCCTGCACGCCCCCCCGATGGGGATCAAGCCTGCAACTCGGGCCTGTGCCCTGACCGGGAATCGAACCCTGACCTCCTGCTACAGAGCCACACCATCCGGGCTATTTTTTAATTTAAAAAAATGGTTTAAACCTAGTGATCTCCTTGTAAGTTCAGACACAGTCACATAAAAATCTAGATTTCTGGCTGCTCTTGAACTTGGGAGGGGGCACGGGGGCTGCCAGGTGCTGTTTCTTAGTCATGGCCCTGCCCCATCGCCCTGGCCATGCGGTCACTGTCGGCGTTGAGCACGCATAGCCTCCTGGCAATTGCACCAGGAGCAGCCCCCTCGGTGCGGCCCCCTCGTAGTGGCTGAGCTGTATCCCAGGCCCCCCCAAGGCCTGCCTCACACCAAGGCTCACCTCACACTTGCCTCCCCCCCACCCCTGTACCTGTTGGGGTCCTGGCCTGGGAACAGGTGGAAGCCACAACGTGGAGCCGCCTGGATGGAAGCATCACGGCCCCTGTGCCAGGAGGACGGAGCCCTGGCCGCTCTGGGCGGCTGCGCAGGCCCACCCACGGCTTTCTGCACGGGGCCTCCAGACCCACCCGGGAGGGGCCAGCAGGCCGTGCTGGGCAGCAGTGGTGGGCTGGAACAAGCTGGGGGTTTCAGGATGAGTCACACTGTTGGGGGCCGCCTGGACCACAGGGTAACAGTGGTTGCCAAGGCGATGAGATGACGGTGTCGTGGTTCCTCTCCCTGACTTTCCAGGTTCCTCTAACGTGGCTGAGGCGCCCGTGACCACACGAAGGTCAAGCGTGGTGGCGGGTATCGCTGCTCGACTCCGGCCCCGGGGAGGGTTGGGTTCAGCGGGGACGATGCTTAAGGGCCCCACGGGGAGTGGCCAGGCCGGGGAGAGGCCTGGATGCCCACCCGTGGGAGAAGGGAAGTGACTGCGCGTCCCGGCGGTCCGATCTCCAGAGCCCCGGAGGAGGGTCTGCGTCTGGGCAGCGTGTCGGGGAAGAGCAGGCACCCAGATGCCAGGTCAGCGCGGACGCCGTGGCCCTCCCTCGGGGCCGCCGTGCTCACCTGCGGTCCACGGCCTTCTCCGGGGTCTCGGAGGTCACGGCCTTCTCATCACGACACCGAAGGAAGGCGAAACCTGCCTGGCACAAAGCAGCGGTGGTGAGATGCAGGGCCTGAGCCGAGGGGGCGTGCTGGCACCAGACTGCCGGAAGCATCCGCCGTGCGAACAGGAGAGCTGCTGGCCAGTTCCTCACTAATGTGGGAGGATCCCACGGGATGAGACGAGAGCCCCTGCGGCGCTTGGTCTGGGCGGACGGGCACTCCAGGACGGGCACTCCGGGACGGGCACTCAGGATGGGCACTCGGGACGGGCACTCCGGGACGGGCACTTGGGACGGGCACTCGGGATGGGCCCTGGGGACGGGCACTCAGGGATGGGCACTCGGGACGGGCACTGAGGAGGGCACTCCGGGACGGGCACTCCGGGATGGGCACTCAGGACGGGCACTGAGGACGGGCACTCGGGACGGGCACTCGGGATGGGCACTTGGGACGGGCACTCTGGGATGGGCACTCCGGGACGGGCACTGGGGACAGGCACTCGGGACGGGCACTCAGGATGGGTACTCGGGACGGGTACTCCGGGATGGGCACTCGGGACGGGCACTCTGGGACGGGCACTCCAGACGGGCACTTGGGACGGGCACTCCGGACGGGCACTTGGGACAAGCACTCCGGGACGGACACTCCGGGACGGGCCCTGGGGATGGGCACTCCGGGACGGGCACTCTGGAACGGGCACTCGGGACGGGCACTGAGGAGGGCACTCCGGGATGGGCACTCCGGGATGGGCACTCAGGACGGGCACTGAGGACGGGCACTCGGGACGGGCACTCCGGGACGGGCACTCCGGGACGGGCACTCAGGACGGGCACTGAGGACGGGCACTCGGGACGGGCACTCGGGATGGGCACTTGGGACGGGCACTCCGGGATGGGCACTCAGGATGGGCACTCGGGACGGGCACTCGGGACGGGTACTGAGGATGGGCACTCTGGGACGGGCACTCGGGACGGGCACTGAGGACGGGCACTCTGGGACGGGCACTTCGGGACAGGCACTCAGGATGGGCACTCGGGACGGGCACTGAGGACGGGCACTCTGGGACGGGCACTCCGGGACGGGCACTCGGGATGGGCACTCGGGACGGGCACTCTGGGACGGGCACTCCGGGACGGGCACTCCATGACGGGCACTTGGGACGGGCACTCGGGACGAGCACTCTGGGACGGGTGTACTTCCAGCAGAACGCCTGCTGTTCGGTTTTTGTTCCTCCGTTTGTGTTTCTCCACGGACACCCTCGGCGCCATCTTTCCTTGGCTTCCCGGGCAGTCAGACCGATGGACGGGGCTGCTGGAGGCACTCACGTTGGGTCCCCAGGGTGCTCTCCGCACAGTGCCTGCTCCGCGTACCCTGTGCCCTCTGCCTGCGCCCGACGCCCCCTCCACCTGCCCGAACCCGCCCGTCCTGCTGTGGTCCTGCCTCTGTTCCTCTCCTGCCTTCGTCTCCTGCGTCAGAGCGGCTCTCCCCCGTCCCCTTTTACGCATCTGCTGGCTTAACAGATGCCCTGCACTCCACACAGCCCACGGGCAGCCACTGCTCGTGCTCCTGCCAAATAAGACCCTCCGTACCCACCACTCCTCTCAGTGGGCTTGTTATGGTTTCCTGGTTCTTCTTCTTCTTCTTCTTCTTCTTCTTCTTCTTCTTCTTCTTCTTCTTAATATATATTTTATTGATTTTGTACAGAGAGGAAGGGAGAGAGATACAGAGTTAGAAACATCGATGAGAGAGAGTCATGGATCAGCTGCCTCTTGCACACCCCCCACTGGGGATGTGCCCGCAACCAAGGCACATGCCCTTGACCGGAATCGAACCTGAGACCTTTCAGTCCCCAAGCCGACGCTCTATCCATTGAGCCAAACCGGTTTCGGCTTCTTCTTTTTAAATATATTTTATCGAGTCTTTTACAGATAGGAAGGGCGAGGGATAGAGAGTTAGAAACATGGTTGAGAGAAACACCGATCAGCTGCCTCCTGGTCTGGGCTTCATGATGTTTGCCCGGGACACTAGGCCTCGTCCGGTCACACGGAAGCTCCTGCCCCGCTGGGTCGGCAGAGCCTCGGGGTCGCTCGGCTTCTGCTCCCCGAGACGCCTTCGGATCTGCGCTCTCCTGCTGTCTTTGGTCTCTGATAACGTCCGCGCTGTCTTCCCACATCAGCGATGCGTTTCTACATGTGCCTTACATGTCTCTGCCCAGCTTGTTTGTGTGTGTTTGGTTTCAGAACTCTTCAGCCTGTGCCTACTGCCATGCTGCCAGAAACAGACGCCGAGCCCTCTTTCCAGCCCCCTCAAACGCATGTCTCTCCAGACCCTGCCCAGCTGACCGCCCCGCCCCCGTGCGTTCCCCGCCCCCTGGCCTGCGTCTGGCCCCCTGTTCGGTGCCTGCATGCTTCCTGAGGGCAGGCCATGGCCCCACCTCCCTCAGAGCCCCTGCCTGAGCGCCTCCCTCCATGACTCTCCAAGTGTCAGTTGAATGAAATGCAGTCTGGAGGCTGGAGGCACCCATCTCCCCCTGCGCTTCCAGGACCTCCCACCAGGGGGCGGCCTCAGCCAGTGCTGGAGCCTTTTCTCCCGCAGGCGGGAGGGTCCAGGGGGGAGGAGCCTGGCCTCCTGGGGCTCCAAAATCTGCAGCATCACGTGCCCTCTTGGCGGGACCCCAGGAGAAGCCTCCAGAACCCGCCACCACAGGCCATTTAAGTGAGAGCGCACAGAGCAGTGATTGGGAGACTGGCGGGGACATGAGGACGCACAGGCAGGGGAGGGCCGGGTGGACCTGAGATGGGGGTGGCCAGGGCCTGCTGGGCGGGAACCCGGAACCCAGCTCCTCACCTGTCACGGGTCTGCTCGGAGAACCCCTGTGCGGCCTGTGCCTCCCTCAGCCGCTCACTCAGCCCCATGGGGAGTGGGATGGGCACTGACACACGTGCCTCCTCCCCCGTGTCCAGTGCGGCCCAATGGACAGCCCCTGTTCCTGCTCCCGCCCCCTTGCAGCCCTCCCCCCGCACCCCTCCCCCCAGCCGGGGAGACTCCTGCCACCCCTACCTGTTGGGATCCAGCTCAGCCTCCGGGCCCAGCTCCTCACGGGGATGACACCAAGCCGGGGCCCAGGGTGTGGGGGGCACCGGCCTCGCCTGGGCCAGCACAAGGGGTGCTGCAGCCGCACCGGGGACGGGGCCAAACCGCCCTTCAGGCCTCCGGGGGTACGGCTCCCCCCCTGGTCCTCGCCCCCGATCCCCAGCCATCGCTGCCCCTGGAGACAAGGCCACGCATGGGACGCGATCCCAGGAGAGCCAGGTCCCGCGGAACGGGACAGGCAGCGGGTCCCTCGTTCACCGTCCCACTCAGACCAATGGCACACCTGCTGTGTGTCTGGCCTCCAGAAAGGAGGTGTGCCCGGCCCACTTTCCATTTCCTCAGTGTGTGTGGGCATGCGTGCATGTGTGTGCACACGTGTGTGTGTCTGTCTGTGTGTGTGTCTGTGTGTGTGTGTGTGTCTGTGTGTGTCTGTGTGTGTCTGTGTGTGTGTGTGTCTGTGTGTGTGTGTCTGTGTGGGTGTGACTGTGTGTGTGTGTGTCTGTGTGTGTGTGTCTGTGTGTGTGTGTGTCTGTGTGTGTGTGTCTGTGTGTGTGTGTCTGTGTGTGTGTGTGTGTCTGTGTGTGTGTGTGTGTGTGTGTCTGTGTGTGTGTCTGTGTGTGTGTGTGTGTCTGTGTGTGTGTCTGTGTGTGTGTGTGTCTGTGTGTGTGTGTCTGTGTGTGTGTGTGTGTGTGTGTGTCTGTGTGTGTCTGTGTGTGTGTGTGTCTGTGTGGGTGTGTCTGTGTGTGTGTGTGTCTGTGTGTGTGTGTGTCTGTGTGTGTGTGTGTGTGTCTGTGTGTGTGTGTCTGTGTGTGTGTGTCTGTGTGTGTGTGTGTCTGTGTGTGTGTGTCTGTGTGTGTGTGTGTGTCTCTGTGTGTGTGTCTGTGTGTGTGTGTCTGTGTGTGTGTGTGTCTGTGTGTGTGTGTCTGTGTGTGTGTGTGTCTGTGTGTGTGTGTGTGTCTGTGTGTGTGTGTCTGTGTGTGTGTGTCTGTGTGTGTGTGTGTCTGTGTGTGTGTGTCTGTGTGTGTGTGTGTGTCTCTGTGTGTGTGTCTGTGTGTGTGTGTCTGTGTGTGTGTGTGTCTGTGTGTGTGTGTCTGTGTGTGTGTGTGTGTGTCTGTGTGTGTGTGTGTCTGTGTGTGTGTGTGTGTCTGTGTGTGTGTGTGTCTGTGTGTGTGTGTGTCTGTGTGTGTCTGTGTGTGTGTGTGTGTCTGTGTGGGTGTGACTGTGTGTGGGTGTGACTGTGACTCCAGGGTGCACCCGGCTCAGGGCGCAGAGTGCAGGCCGCGGGCGCCCCCTCCCCGCCGCCGTGGCCCCGGCCCCGCTTCCTGAGAACAAACCACAGCGGAGGCGGCGCCGGGCTCACAGGCCGTGGTACGGCTCAGAGGAGGGACCGAGGAAGGGCCGGTGCAGCGCAGGCCGCGCGGCGTGAGGGCGTCGCGCCCTGGGACGCGGAGCCGGAGAGATGGCCCCGCGGTGGCTCTTCCTCGCCGTGGCCGGACTGCTGACGGCAGGCCTCTCAGGTACCCCCGCCCCCGCCGCCCGCTGGAGGACGGCTCCGGTCTCCTGGCCGCTTCCTGGCCGTTCCCTCCACCCGCCTTTCTGCCCCCCCCCCCCCCCCCCCCCGCCCCGGGCTGTGCTCGCACCAGGGAGGCCCGGTTGTGCCCACAGTCCTGGGGCCTGGAGAGGGGAGGGCTGGGCTGTGCCTGGACAGAGCCGAGAGGCCGCCTGAGCCAGCGGCTCCCAGGCTCCGGGGAAGATGCCTCCCCCCATAGGGTCAGTAACCCCCACCCTAGTCCAGAGAGGGCCGACCACGGCCGAGGGTGGGCCCCCCGCTTGCCACTCACAGCACAGCCGTCGGGCGGGCTCCGGCAGTGGGGAGGTGGGGGCTGCCGGTCGGGGGGCTCAGCACAGCCGTTGGGGGCAGTTTAGGGCACAAAGCAATAGGCATGTTCTCGGTGGCACCTCCCTTTCCTCCTGGGCTTGCCCGGTGCCAGGGCCCTCCTGACCGGCCGGGCTCTGGGTTTGGGTGCTGGGCTGTGGTCCTCGGAGGCTGTTGGGGGTTTCGGGTGTGAACACAGAATTCTGGGCCCAGGGAGTCTGGGTCCGCCGCAGGCGGTGCTGCCGGTGTGGGGCGAGGCCCAGGAAGGCCCCGGGGAGGGCGTCCGAGGCAGCTGGAGGCCGAGAGGCCTGGGTGTGCTCGGAGGGAGCTCTTCCCTCTGCCTCCCTGAGCCCCTGACCTCACGCCGGGTCCAGGAAAGCCTCCAGCCGTGGGGGTCAGCCCGGCCCTTCCGCCGACAGGGCGCCCCCGGGGCTCAGCCACCTCCCGCCCAGAGCTGAGGCGGACGGTCCCAGCGGCCCCTTCCTCCCCACTCTCAGGTCTCCTCCGCTCGGCCTGGCCACCACCTCGGCCCGGCATGCAGTCTGGTCCGAAGGTCCGTAGCTCGGTGCTCGGGCCGGGGGAACTGGCCTGGCGGGAAGCAGGAACCCCGGCCTGGGCAGGGCTCGGAGCCATGGTCCCTCCCTCCTGGCTCACCCTGCACACGGGACGGGGCTCACGTTGTGTTTTTGGAACTGTATTTGGGGCCCGGGCTCAGCGTTGGGAGGAAGCGAGGTCCCCGTGCGAACGAAAAGCTGGCACCGGCTCCATGGGTGCGGCCGGCCGGGAGCAGGCGGTGGGGAAGCCCAGTTCCCGCCGGGAACCGTGGGAAGGTCGGGAAAGCGCGAGCCCGCAGCCCACCGCCCTGGCGCCTGCTTCCGGGGAGCTGAGGGGAATGGCAGAGGCCTCGCCCCAAACCGTTAGCTTTTCCCGACTTTGTGGGGGGACTGAGCCCCTGTAAGGAGGGAACCCTTTGCTCGCTGTTTGGTTTGATGGCATTCCATCTGCGCCCTGACCCTCCGCGGCCCAGGGGTCTTCCCGCCGCTGGGACACATGTGGGGAGGCAGGGCCTCCCAGGAAGAGGGAGCTGGGCCTCGGACCCCAGGAGAGGGGTCAGCAGCGGAGCCCCTGGGGCAGCCAGAGCCAGCTGACATGGGGGGGATGTGACCAGCTGCCTGGGCGGCTCCCCCTCCGCCTGGCCCAGCAGGCCGGAACCCCCCGATGGCGCCAGGCTGGTCTGTGGTCCTCCCTGGTCACCGGGCGGGGGCAGGAGGCCAGGACGTCCAGGGGGAGAAAAAGGATGGAAACGAGCGGAGGAGAGCGAGGAGAGGGGGCGGGAGCCACGAGCGGCCTGGCGGGGTCACCAGGCTGTGCCCTGGGTGGCAGGTGGCTGGGGCCTGGCCCTCGGGGCCCTGGCAGACCCGGCCGTGGCCATGGGTGCCCAGCAGGACCTCTCGGTCCTGCGCCCCGTCCCAGGCCCAGTGCCCGGCTCCGTGGGGCCTCACCGCTGTGTCTGCCCATCGGGCCTGGGCTCCGGGCCGGCCTCTCGTCAGGCTGGGTTTGTGCTGTTGGATGAGTGACCAGGGCGGAGCCTGGGGCCCAGAGAGCCACTGCCCAGCTCTCGGCTGGTGCTCCCCGGAGGCCCGGCCCCACCATCCCTCCAGCTCCGTGCCTCAGTGTCTTTTCCGTGTGCCTCTGCTTTCTGACCAGCCACCGGGGACGAGGCAGAGGGAAGGAGCGAGGAGCCTATGACTGGGAGGACGGGGTGGGATTCACTGTGTGCCCCTTCTCCTCTCTGGATCTCGGGGTTCCTGCGGGGGATGGGGTGCTTTGGTTAGACTCGTGGTCGGCAAACTCATTAGTCCACAGAGCTAAATACCAACAGCACAACGATTGAAATTTCTTTGGAGAGCCAAATTCTTTAAACTTAAACTTCTTCCAACGCCACTTCTTCAACATAGACTCGCCCAGACCGAGGTATTTAGTGAAAGAGCCACACTCAAGGGGCCAAAGAGCCACATGTGGTTTGCTGTCCACGGGGCAAGACAATCCCCGAGGACTCGGTCAGATCTGACCTTTGCGTGTGGCGCGGTAACAGAGCCGGCCAGTGGTGCCGGTGGTGCCGGGCGGGGCCGAGCTCGGGCCCCGGGGCCTCTGGACTGTGGTCGCTGAGGTCCGCAGGGCTGCCGTGTGCCCGGCCAGGGTGAGCTGTGGTTTCTTAGCAATAAAAAAAAAAAAAAAAAAATCGCCGAAACCGGCTTGTCTCAGTGGCTAGACAGTCGGCCTGCAGACTGAAAGGTCCCAGGTTTGATTCCGGTCTAGGGCATGTACCTTGGTGGCGGGCACATCCCCAGTGGGGAGTGTGCAGGAGGCAGCTGGTCGCTGCTTCTCTCTCATCAATGTTTCTAGCTCTCTATCCCTCTCCTTTCCTCTCTGTGAAAAATCAATAAAATATATTTTAAAAAAATCTATTTTCCTTAACGTGGAAGTTCACCAGGCCAATCTCACTGCGTTCTTCGCCTGGCAGTTTCCGGCAGCGACTCTCAGGGCCCCGTGCCGTGTCCGGACGCCGCCAGTGAGTCAGGCCTTGGCCCCATGAGGTCTGTGTGTGCCAGTGGCCCCGAGGGCGTGCAGTGAGCCCGAGGAGGGCTGAGCGGGGACTGCACTGCAGGCTTTGGTTCAGATCCACGTAAAGCCTGGCCCGTGGCTTCCGTGTGAATTGCAGGCTGAAGCGATAGAGTTTGGGTCTGTGGGGTCAGCAGAGTTTGCCCCGTGGTCTGACTGTCCCTGGGTAAAGCGGGGCTCCTGGGAGACCGAAAGTGAGGCCCGTACGGGGCAGAGGGAGGTTGCAGCTGCTCCCACAGAAAACAGCACAGTGATTGTAAATGAACGACACCGGAGGACGCTGCGGGCCTGGACTCACAGCTGTGACCGTTTGGCCTTCCCCGGCTGTGCCCAGAGGGACCCGCAGGCCCGGACGCACGCAGCGGCGCCTGCAGATGGGACACACGGGTTTTCTTACCAGTGCTCCCAACGCCGCTAAGAAACCAGCCCCCCCCCCCCCCCAAGGGCGCCCGAGGATGCTCTCCATCCAGGGAGCTGACGCCTCCACTCCGTGAACACGAGGCTCTCGTAAACATGCTAACACCGGGCACGGACGCTGTCACGTTCTCCGAAAAGTTCCAGTTACATTTCAGCTAACAGCCATGAGCTGACCGGCCCCGGGAGACACACTAGAGGCAGAATGTTCTTACACATCAACAAGACAGGACGTTTGCCCTGACCGGTGTGGCTCAGTGGATAGAGCGTCGTCCTGCGGAATGAAAGGTCCCAGGTTCGATTCCGGTCAAGGGCAGGTACCTGGGTTGCGGGCATATCCCTGGTAGGGGGTGTGCAGGAGGCAGCTGATGGATGTTTCTCTCCCATCAATGTTTCTAACTCTTTATCCCTCTCTCTTCCTCTCTGTAAAAAAAAAAAAAAAAAAAAAAAAAAAAAAAAAAATATATATATATATATATATATATATATGTTTTTTACATAAAATATATTAAAATAAAATATATTAAAAACAAAACAAAACAAATAAAAAAGACAGGACTTTACACATGAACACACCAAACTGGACCCAATCGGCACTTAACAGAATTATGGATGCGCCAGGTTTTTGGTCATCTCATCTCTATTTATATATTTTTTTTGTTTTGTTTTGTTAACCCTCACCCGAGGATATGTTCCCATTGATTTTTAGAGAGAGTGGAAAGGAAGGGGAGCGACAGAGAGAGAAACATCGATGTGAGACAGACACAGTGAATGGCTGCCTCTCGCACCCTGACTAGGGCTGGGGATCGAGCCTGCTGTTGAGGCACGTGCCCTTGACCGGAATCGAACCGGGGACCCCTCAGTCTGCAGGCTGACGCTCTATCCACCGAGCCAAACCGGCTGGGCTCATCTCTGTTTTTAAATTCGAGTCTTTGAGGGCTTACTGTCGGGGAGGCCTGGGGTTGTCTGGATCTGAGTGGAATTTCCATCTCAGGGGACAGAGGCAAGGTCAGCCCTTTGGTTATTTTGTCAAAATATAAGGCGTCACTGTTCCTGCCGTGTGGCTGGCGGACCCGCCGTGCCCTTAGAGAGCCCATGTCCTTCTCCGATTGGGCTGCTCTCTGACCCATGACCTCTGGATCCAAGGCATACGACCTCATTCTCTTGGTCTGCCCCCCACTGGGTGGGGTTAAGTTGAAGCCGTGTGTCCACGATCCCAGTCCCGCTTCTTCATGTTCTCCCTGTGCGATGTCCCTACAGACGCCCACTGTCTGCTCATTTCTCCTGAGCCGGGCTCTCGGGTCAGAGGTCAGTGGTCAGCGACGGGTGGGGACGGACAGCCGGCTGCCTGTGGTGACGGGGCCAGGATGCGAGGACCACAGGGATCTGATGGGGGGAAGGGCCACCCGGTTGGAGGCCACCTCCCTCTGCCTGGACCGCAGCCGGGAAACTGCCAGCGAACGCCCACGCCGCCGGGTGCTCGCCCTGCTCTGGGCGGACCGGGGTGGGGCCGGGACCCCAGCCCATCTGCCTCCCCAGTTACAGAGCCCCGTCCGCCACCCGCCCTCGGCCCCCGCCAGGCCAGGCTGCGGTGACGGAGGGCCC